AGGAAGCGGGCGGAGTCCTCGCCCGGGCGCAGCCTGCACACGCCACCGCGGGGCGGCCAGGAGGGCATGGCCGGGCCGGGCCGGGCCGGGCCGGAGCCAGCCGAGCTCGTCTAGGATGCACCGAAGCGGGCCGGACCGGACCGGACCGGGCTGAGGTCGGGCTGTACTGGACTGAGCCGAGCTACTTCAGACTGCACTGAACCGGGCTTAGACAGAGCCGGACTGGACCGGACCGGACTGGGCTTCACTGAGTTTTGCCACTCCCGAGTGCATTGGACTGTTCTGAGCTTGGCTGACCTGCATTGTGCTGCACTGAGCTGGGCCGAGCTGGACCTGGTACTCTTCGCTCATTTAGACGCGCCACGCTCCCCCCTCAGCTCTGAGCCTCCGCTGTCTCTCCCTCATGCTCACTCCTCCCGCGGCGGTCTCTTCTTACAGCGCCTTCCCTCACCCCCTGCCCGCCTGCAGCCTGGCCCCTCTCCTCCTCCCTGGACCCCCCTGTTCACCCTGCGCCCCCTCTCGCCCTCCCCCCCACATCATCGCTCTTAGCACAGGAAGTCCAATGCTGGGGCGGCTCGTTCCCAGCAGTCTGTCATGCACGGTCTCCTGACCCCGCCCTCCCTCTGTCCCGCCCCGACTCCGCCCTCTCTCTCGCCTCGCCCTCCCCTAGCTCCGCCCTCGCTCTCGCCCCGCCCCCTCCTGTTTATTATCGTGCACACTCTCCTGGCCCCGCCCTCCCCTGCCCCATGTCGTGGTGGTGTTGCACCGGAGATGATTTTCACGAACACGCCTGAAAATCAGGGAGTACTCTCACTGACCCAGTTCAGGAGTATTCTGGAGTCTTCTCACTAACATAAGCGAGTATTGGGGAGTATTTTCACTAACATGAGCAAGTATTAGAGAGTATTCTCACGAACACGAGCGAGTATAAGGGAGTATTCTCACTAACGCAAGCGAGTATTAAGGAGTAATATCACTAACGCAAGCGAGTATTAGGGAGTATTCTCACTAACGCGAGTGAGTATTAAGGAGTATTCTCACTAAAGCGAGCGAGTATTAAAGAGTAATCTCACTAACGCGTGCGAGTATTAGGGAGTATTCTCACTAACGCGTGCGAGTATTAGGGAGTATTCTCACTAACGCGCGCGAGTATTAGGGAGTATTCTCACTAACACTCGCAAGTATCAGGGAGTATTCTCAATAGCGTGCAAGAGTATTAGGGAGTATTCTCATTAACGCGAGCGAGTATTAGGGAGTATTCTCACTAACACGTGCGAGTATTAGGGAGTATTCTCAATAACGCAAGCGAGTATTAGGTAGTATTCTCACTAATGCACGAGTATTAGGGAGTATTCTCACTAACGCGAGCGAGTATTAGGGAGTATTCTCACTAACGCGCGCGACTGTTAGGGAGTATTCTCACTAATGCGAGCGAGTATTAGGGAGTATTCTCACTGACGCCACCTCTGAGCCATTATCCGGGTCGTGTGTCCTGCCTCCGATCCAAGGTGTCAGAAACACAGAGATTCCCTCTGCTCCTCCCGGAATCTTCCAGAAAAATAACAGGGACTGATCTTTTCCGTGTGCGCGTTTTTCCACCTCTCCTTAGGCTGAGGCTGAGGTAACCACGGCAACAGCATCAGCACCACGGACACAGAGAGGCAGAGGAGTGAGGGACAGAGAGAGAGGAGTGAGAGAGAGAGAATGAGTGAAGGAGAAATGAGTGAGAGACAGGAGTAAGGAGGAGAGAGAGAACGGAAGGAAAGGATTCTTCACCCAAGGTACTGGGGCGAGACAGGGCTGCAGTCTGAGCCCAACACTGTTCAATATCTCTATCAGTGGGTTAGCAGGAGTGTTGGAGCAGTCTCACACTACATGACACGGATGACCTGGTTCTGCTGTTGCCCACAGAACAGGGGGGTCCCCTCACAGACCAGGGGTACACTCAATGGGACAAACACCCCACAGAAACTCTGCACATGGAGATCTGTAGAAAAATCCTCCGTGTCCAGAGAAAAACTCCTAACAACGGGTGCAGGGCCGAAAGGCCAGTACCCACTATTGATGAACATACAGAAAAGAGTATTAAGGTATTGGCTACACCTAAAAAACAGCGACCAAAACGCCTTCCACAAGGCCCTGCTGAGTCAAGAGCTGAGCCCAAAACAGAGCCCCCTGAGCCAGCTGGTCCTGAGGCTCACCGACCTGAGCCACACCGACACTAACCAGCCTCAGGACAGCACTGCTAGAGCACCACAACCCAGACTCAACCACATCACAGCACAGATCAAACAGCAATATCTCACACGCTGGGAGACACACACACAAACACAGCATAAACTGGAATGCAACAGAACCCTAAACAGACAATACACACTAGCTGAATATTTGACCAAGTTAAGAAACAGCAAAATGAAACAGACCCTGACGAAGTACAGGCTCAGTGACCACAGCCTGTGTGATCTCCTGTCTCTCAGTAAAGCTCCATGTGTCTGTATGTAACTGTATTATGGTGTGTCTATATTGTAAATATCTGTAGATTTTATGTTCATTGTATCTGCTTTGGCAACACCGATGTATTCACTGGTGGTCCAACGGAGCGTCTTGAACTGGAAATTGAATTGAACGAGTGAAGCAGAGAGACGGGGAAGATCTGCCGGTGAGATTGAAGGACTTCTACACCGGACCCGGCGGACTGCGGTCACTCTCTCCTGCCTCTCGCCGGCCCGAGTGAGCTTTAACACGGCGGAGTTGATCATTTCCCGGCGCCGGGGTTAAATATCCAACCCGGGTTTGACTCCGGCGAGGGGGGGGAGAGATCCGCGCGGCGGCGTCCCGACATCCTGGGAATCTGCAGAATTCCCGTTCTTCGGTGCACGTGCGTCGGATCGCGACAAAGCGCACGAGACGAGAGGAAGGAGAGCGTGAGACCCGGACAGCCCACGAGCCCCACCAGCCCCACGGAATCCGCCGCCGCTGTGTCTTTAAATGAGGCCCCGTGGGAGGCTCGCAGAGCGTCCTTTGGTTCCCAAGGAAACGGAGGGGAGGGGGGGGCAGATTTTCCTTCTGTGACATAAAAGCAGGGCAAGTTTCCCCCGGCAGCGCGCGGAGCGGCTCCGGGTCCCGGACTTCGGCTTGGACGGCGCTGACCCGGGTGAGCACTGCGGGCCGGTCCTGTTCGGGCCGGTCCTGGCGGGAGGAGGGAGCGGGTAGCGAGGTCGGGAGGAGGGAGAGGAAAGTCGACACGCTCACGCCATCTTCCCCCGCGCGCCTGCCGCCGTGCAGGGCTCTCTCGCACGTGCGGCGGGGGGGTGGGCTTGGGGTACCGGGACCCCGACTTCGCCCAGTCTGTGGGGCAGTGACGCTCCGGGAAAAGGCTCCAGTTTGCGGCGATGAGACTCCGGCTTCGCGCAACGCGAGCGTCTCCGCCGGGGGGGTGTCGGCTCGGGGGGGCAGGTCCGTGTCGCTCAGGACGTCCGAGCCGGGCCGCCACGCAGAGCTCGGTCCCGGGGCCGCGGAGACCTGTAACCGGCCGGGGAAGAGGGAGATTGACTGACCAGCGTCGGTAAAGTTCGGTCTCCTGCCGGGGGCGCTCTAGGGCAGCACAGGCTAACTGGTGTCCTGTAGTTTACTGTACTGTAGAGTCACTGGGTTTATTGGTGTCCTATAGTAAATAGAATATAGTTACTCCTCTGTTCTTATGTCCTTATCTGCTACACCCAGTAAACTACAGGACACCAGTAAGCCCATTGTGACTCTATAGTACAGTAAACTACAGGACACCAGTAAGCCCAGTGATTCTACAAAACAGTACACTACAGGACACCAGTAAACCCAGTGACTCTACGATACCGTACACTACAGGACACCAGTACAGCCCAGTGAGATTCAGACACCCCCTGGAGACCCCAGACACCCCAGGAGCCCAGGCCCTGACAGTGCGCCCCCTCTTCCTCTCTCGGCAGCCCCAGCTCGAGCCCCACAGGGACAGAGATGGAGCCCGCAGATGCCCGTCTCTGCCCAGCGCCTGCCCTACGGCCCCTCCCTGCCCCTGCCCCCCCGGCAGCCTGGCGGGAGCCCGGCTCAGGCGAGCTCGGCCTCCAGGGCTGCGCAGACGAGGACCTGACCTGCCTGAGCTGGCTGCACCAGAGCACCGACCTCCTGCACGAGCTCCGGCTGGGGGAGACCCAGCCCCCCCAGAGCCCCCCCAGCCCCCCCGCCAAGCCCCCCTACTCCTTCAGCAGCCTGATCTTCATGGCCATCGAGGGCTCTCCCCACAAGCAGCTGCCCGTGAAGGAGATCTACCAGTGGATCCTGTCCTCCTTCCCCTACTACAGGCTGGCTCCCGCTGGCTGGAAGAACTCCGTCCGGCACAACCTGTCGCTCAGCAAGTGCTTCCTGCGTGTCGGCCGGGAGCAGGGCAGGGTGGGCAGAGTGTGTGTGTGTGTGTCTGTCTCAGTGTGTATGTGTGTCTGTCTGAGTGTGTGTGTGTGTGTGTGTGTCTCAGTGTGTCTCTCAGTGCATGTGTGTCTCAGTGTGTATGTGTGTCTGTCTCAGTGTGTCTCTGTGTCTGTCTCAGTGTGTCTCAGTGTGTATGTGTGTCTGTCTGAGTGTGTGTGTGTGTGTGTCTGTCTCAGTGTGTCTCTCAGTGCATGTGTGTCTTCAGTGTGTGTGTGCTCCACAGTGTGTGTCTCAGTGTGTGTGTGTGTGTGTCTCAGTGTGTATGTGTGTCTGTCTCAGTGTGTCTCAGTGTGTAAGTGTGTCTGTCTCAGTGTCTCAGTGCATGTGTGTCTTCAGTGTGTGTGTGCTCCACAGTGTGTGTCTCAGTGTGTGTGTGTGAGTGTGTCTGTCTCAGTATGTGTGTCTGTCTCAGTGTCTCAGTGCATGTGTGTCTTCAGTGTGTGTGTGCTCCACAGTGTGTGTCTCAGTGTGTGTGTGTGTGAGTGTGTCTGTCTCAGTGTGTGTGTGTCTGTCTCAGTATGTGTGTCTGTCTCAGTGTGTCTTCAGTGTGTGTGTGTTTCCCAGTATGTATGTTTAACAGTGTGTTTTTCTGAGTGGGACAGTGTATGTAATTCAGGGTGTGTGTTTCACTGTGTGTGTAATTCAGGGTGTGTGTTTCACAGCGTGTGTACTTCATCGTGTGTGTTATTCAGTGTGTGTGTAACTAAGTGTGTTTTTCAGAGTGTGGGAAAAGGCTCTCTCTGGTCTGTGGCACCTGAATACAGATCTGTGCTCCTGGAGGCCCTAAGAAAGACGAACAGCCTGAACACAGTTCACACCCTGCCAGGACTGTGAGTATCTGCCTGAACACTGTCTATACAACAATTAATGATATCGTAGTTTATTAACACAGCTATCAAGCTATTAATGTTCTGATTAATTCTGGTGCTGTTTGTGTGTACAGGTCAGAGGTCACTGTCTCAGGGGAAACTGTGGTTTGTGGTGCTGAACGTGTCGAGTACAATGGTGAGAGTCTGTCTGTTAATGTCCTGTAGTGTCAGTGTGTCTGTACTAACCCCTCTCTCTCTCAGTGCAGTGTTAATGTACTGGAGTGTCCAGTCAGTGTCTGTATTAACCTCTCTCTCTCAGTGCAGTGTTAATGTACTGGAGTGTCTGTTTTAATGCCTCTCTTACATGAAACGTGTTGTGAAACATTTGAACTTCAGTGTAATAAAAAGATTTGCAATAAGTAACGAATCTTTTTCATGCATAAGATTTTTAGCCTTGACGACACAGTGGTTAGCAACGCTGGGTTCAATTCCAGACCTGGTGGGCTGTGTGTGTGGAGTTTGCATGTTCTCCGTTGCTTGCCACGCGCGATAGGCTCCGGCCCCCCGGCGACGCTGAACTGGATGGAGATGAAGAGGAAGGAAAAAGGGTGGATTTTTAACCCGTCTCTCATTTTTCTCTCCCAGAGCCCCTGTCCCCCTCACTCCCCCTCTCCCCCGCTCCTGTCCTGCTGGGTGACCCCGGCCCCTGGGAGACGAGCCCCGTGCCCTCTGACCCCAGCGAGGACCACAACTACAGCATCTACCAGCTGGCGACCAGCCTGGCCGGGGGCGTGGCCCTGCAGCTGGAGGTGGGCGTGGAGGAGGAGCTGGTTGCCATGGAGGCGATGGAGCTGGGTGTGGCCGAGAAGGACCCCCTGGCGGACAGCGGGTATATAGAGTACCACGAGTACCTGGTTCTGCCAGGAGAGCCGGGCCTGGACCTGGAGACTGTGGAGATCCTGCAGCTGGACCAGGAGCTGCAGGAGGCGGCCGGGTCTCTGCTCAACCTGGCAGGGGGTGGGTACTCTCACTGAGGGACTGACTGACCGGGCAGTGGACATATTGACCCACACACTAACTCACTGACCAGTCAGTGGACACACTGACCCACACTGCCTGACTGCCCAGCCAGTGGACATACTGACTCACACTAACTCATTGACCAGTCAGTGGACACACTGACCCATTCTGCCTGACAGACAGGTCGGTGGACATACTGACCCACACTGCCTGACTGTCCAGCCAGAGGACACACTGACCCACACTGCCTGACTGTCCAGCCAGTGGACATACTGACACACACACTAACTCCCTGACCAGTCAGTGGACACACTGACCCATACTGCCTGAAACAGAGGCCAGAGGATATACTGATCAACACTGCCTGACTGTCCAGCCAGTGGATACTCTGACTCACACTGACTGGAACACTGCCTGACTGTCCAGCCAGTGGACATACTGACTCACACTGACTCACTGACCAGCCAGTGGACATACTGACTCACAGTGACTGGTACATGCCTGACTGACTGACCAGCGGGGACAATGACCCACACTGCTGGACTGACCAGCCAGTGTATGCACACACTGCCTGAGAGGCTGATGGACAGACACAGGGACTGACGGACTGACTGTTCGTGGCAGTCTCATGCTGGATATATAAAAAGCAATATCTCTTCCAGTCCTTCTGCTCGGGGCTCAGAACCACAGAGGACAGGGAATAACAGTTCAAGGGCTCCACCTAGTGGCCACACTGCCAAACAGCACTTTGAGTTCAAAATGGGAGGGCAGGATGTCACTATTTCACAAGACAATTGTGAAATTTCTGCACTGGTCTGTATTTGTACATTTACTATGGAGACCAGTGTCTCTAGATTTTGTTCCAAGCTGAGCAGCTGATTAAACCTGGAAGTATTACAACTGTGCTGTTAATTAATTAATTGGACCTGTGGGAGAGTGTGCAGAGTCTGATTCTTGCTGTAGACTCAAACCTCCCTCTCCTGTCCTGGGACCAACCAGCAGCACCTGACCAGTTGCTTGAACATTTGTGTCATTCTTCTAATGCAACCACATGTCCCTTCACTATCTACACTGACACACTGATCTCCTTCACTGTGTACTTCAGTATCTACAC